GATTTTTTACAGAGAGGAAGGGAGAGGGATAGAGAGTTAGAAACATCGATGGGAGAAAAACATCGATCAGCTGCCTCTTGCACACCCCCTACTGGGGATGTGCCCGCAACCAACGTACATGCCCTTGGCCGGAATCGAACTTGGGACCTTTCAGTCCGCAGGCCGACGCTCTATCCACTGAGCCAAGCTGGCCAGGGCAAGAATATATTTTTGAAAAATACCACTTTGAGCCTCAAGTCTGGAGACAGGGATCTGGGAGGCATCAATGTCAAAAAGATAACCGAGCCCTAGCCGGTTTGGCTCAGTGGATAGAGCATGGGCCTGCGAACTGAAAGGTCCCAGGTTCGATTCCGGTCAAGGGCACATGCCTGGGTTGTGGGCTCGATCCCTAGTGGGGGACTTGCAGGAGGCTGCCGATCCATGATTCTCTCTCATCATGGATGTTTCTATCTCTCTCCCTCTCCTTTCCTCTCTGAAATCAATAAAAATATATATATTTTTAAAAATAACATAAATGTATAAAAAAAAGATAACGGAACCCTGGGAGTGACAAGATCTAGATATATAGCATAGGCGCAGATAAAAGGAGCTGTGGCCCTAGCTGGTTTGGCTCAGTGGATGGAGCGTCGGCCTGCGGACTGAAGGGTCCCAAGTTCGATTCCAGTCGAGGGCACATGCCTGGGTTGTGGGCTCCATCCCCAGTAGGGGCCATGCAGGAGGCAGCCAATCAGTGAGTCTCTCATCATTGATGTTTCTCTCTCTCCCTCTCCCTTCCTCTCTGAAATCAATAAAAATACATTTCAAAAATAAATAAAAGGAGCTGTGACAGTGTACAGAGAACCCCCACACTTGGAGGGTGGGAGTGGAATGTCGTGAAATAGCAATATGCTAAAAGCTTCTATTTATTGGATGCTTTCACTCTGACCCTCTGTGCTCAGCATAGTTGCATGGACTCTCCCAGGACCACCGTGGAAAGGGTTATTGTCATTATTATCTTAGTGAGAGCACACAGAGGCTTGGAGAAGTAAGTCATTTTTGCCCGTGGTCAGCACAAATGAAAAGGGGAAGCTGAACTTTCAACCAATAAAGAATTTAAATTAAATACAAGAGAAAAGGGGGAAGCTGAGATTTGAACCTGAGCCCTCAGATTCCAGCGCCTGTGGTGCCCCCACCTTGCCCCACGCCAAGGTCTCAGCCTTAGGGTCTTGTTGGCCAGACTCGGCCTATCAACATGTTTTCTTTGGCCGCTGTTTATTGGTAAAAAATGTGAATTTGTTGACAACTAATTCCATGTAAACATCCGGGATTCCAGCTTCTCTTGAAAATAAAATCCCCCAATTTGGCAACCTTTGGCTCACGTTCCCTGACAAAAATCATCTGGCTCCGTTAGCGACAGTTTGTCTTGTTAGACAAGTGGCGAGTTCCCAGTCTCCCCCAGGCCCTCTTCTCACACTAGCGAGGTCTGCGGGGACCCTATGGACATTCTTTTAGGATTTTGTTTTTCTTTGGGGGGAAATTTTGCAAAATTCCAGAGTACTTAATATTGTGAACTCTCATGCACCCCTCACTGCGCTTCAACAATGATTAGCATTTGGTCCAGTTGTTGTCTCCCTGTGTGTTCTCTTTTTCTGGAGTGATTTCAATCCCATGACCTAGCCGGCGTGGTTCAATGGTTAGAGAGTCAGCCCACACACCAGGAGGGTCTCGGGTTCAATTCCCGGTCAAGGGCATGTACCTGGGTTTCAGGTTCAGTCCCCGTCCTCCGTCCGAGCCCATGTAGGAGGCAACCAATCAATGTGTCTCTCTCGCATGGATGTCTCTCTCTCTCTTCCTCTCTCTCCCCCATCCTCCTTCCCCCCTCTGCCCCTTCCACTCTCTCTAAGAATCAATGGAAAAAATAACCTCCAGTGAGCATTAGCAACAAAAAATTAAATCCCAGATGTCATTATTTTCCCATAAATATTTGATTCCTCATTTCTAACACATAAGGACTCCTGTAGCATAACCACCCTGCCAATTTGCACACTCACCATTAACAGTCACACTTTAATATCATCTGATGCCCAGCTCGTGTTCAGATACCCTCAACTGTGTCAAAAGTGTCTTTCTCCCTCCCCCCCTCCCTGCCCCACCCCCAGCCTCTGGAGGGATTTGAATTAGGAACTTCCTGTTGACCATTTGACTTTAAAAAAAAAGGAGAAGGGCCTGTTGGCAGGGGAAGAGACAAGTCAGGAGACTGAGGCATTGGGGGTGACAAGAGAGAAGTTTGTAGAAGGAAAAAGTGGGAAGCATGTCATGGATTTAGCAAGGATTTGGGGAAGACGGGACCAGGGACAGAGAGAAACCTGAAGCTGATATGGAGCTGCAATAAAATTAATAGAGCCCTTGCCCTGACCAGTTTGGCTCGGTGGATAGAGCGTCAGCCTGCGGACTGAAGGGTCCCAGGTTCGATTCCAGTCAAGGGCATGTACCTTGGTTGCGGGCACATCCCCAGTAGGGAGTGTGCAGGAGGCAGCTGATCAATGTTTCTCTCTCATCGATGTTTCTAACTCTCTATCCCTCTCCCTTCCTCTCTGTAAAAAAAATCAATAAAATATATTTAATCTTTAAGATAAAAGTAAGCTGTAATTTTAGAAAAAAGAATTCCAAAACTGAATATATATATATAGAAAGTTACAAGTACTGCTGCTTTGGATATCTGACACGGATGATTCATCCTCACATGCTTTGTGAGGTGGGGGGCAGTCCTTACCGCCACCTTCCAGATGGCTCGCTTAGTGGAGGCCACGGTAGGATCTGGCTAAGGCTGCACCATGAGTAAGTACCAGAGCCAGGATTCAAACCCTGGCCGTGGCCCCTCACTCGAGGGACCCCACCCTGGGCTGCCCCTCTGCAAAGCCCATATGCTATGCCTTGGGCTCAGTTAGACGTGCCACGGCCAAATAAACCGCGGCTGGCAGGGCAGCGTCCAGTCTATCTTCGGGGTGCGGGGTCCCACACTCACTCCCCAAGCGCTGACAGCTGAGATGGAGGGAACACAGGAAGCACCTGGCTCAGAAGCCACACGGTCCCATGGGCACCGCTTTCAGGTGTACAAACAAAACGTGCGCACGGACATCTCTACCAGCACAATTCACAATAGCCAGAGAGCGGAAACGGCCCACATGCCCAGCCACTGAGGACCAGCTAAACAAAATGTGGTCCATCCCGATAATGAGTACCTTACAGCCATAAAAAGAAATGAGGTGCTCATACAGGATATGGCATGGATGGGTCTTGAACACGCCATGCCAATCATAACATTAAAAAGAAGAAAAGAAAAAAACAGGCCAAGTGAAAGAAGCCAGCCACAAAAAGCCATTTGGTGTAGGATTCCATGGACGTGAACTGCCCAGAATAGCAAATCCATTGAGACAGAAGGCAGATTAGTCGTTACCAGGGTTTGGGCGCAATGGGGAAGGGAGAGCTTAACAGTGGTTCTCAACCTTCCTAATGCCGTGACCCTTTAATACAGTTCCTCATGATGTGGTGACCCCCAATTTCATTGTTACAAATTGAACATAATTAAAGCATAGTGATTAATCACAAAAACAACATGTAATTATATATGTGTTTTCCGATGGTCTTAGGCGACCCCTGTGAAAGGGTGGTTAGATCCCCAAAGGGGTCGTAACCCACAGGTTGAGAACCGCTGGCTTAATGGCTGCAGAGCTGTCTTTTGGGGGTGATGAAATGTTCGAGAATTAGAAAGTGGTAATAGTTGCACCATGTTGTGAATTTACTAAATGCCACTGAATTGTACACTTTAAAATGGTTAAAATGTTGAGTGTGTTATGTGTCTGTTATGTTTATGTTTATTTTCTACCTACACAGGAAAAGAATTAGCTGGTGGGGCAAAGGGGGGCAGGTGTCCCCCTCCCAGAGGACACTGGGCAGGGATCGCGCTCCTTGAGCTGCCTCCCAGACCCCTTTCCAAACTCTCCCCCTTCCCCAGGCCTGGCTGGACACCCAGGATCGGTGCTTGGGTCACTATGTAAGTGGAAAGTGGTTAAAGCCGGAAAACAGGAAGTCAGTGCCTTGCCAGGATCCCATCACAGGTAGGAGGCGTCCCCTAGTCATTAGGGGAGGGAGAGGCACCCATGCCCCCCGGCCGTACCCACCAAAGACACCCTAATGTCTTTGCTCAGGGCCTGATGGGGGGAGGAGGCTGAGAGTTTTGGCTCCTCCTTATCCTGGTTATTCTAATATGGTCCCAAGTCCCCGTGGACACTTTTCTGAGTCACCATCTACTAAAGATCCCTCCCTTAGCTTTGCGCAGTGGCAGTATCGTAGCCAATGAGGTTTATCTGAGGCGCGATTATTGCTAAAAAATAAAATAAAATAAAATAAAATCCCTTCCTTGCCTGCGGAGGCCGTCGGCTCAAGAACCAATGGATTTACCCCATTTGTCAGATGACAAACCTGAGACCCTCAGCAGCTTTACTGCGCGCTCCCAGTCCC